ACTTGACTCAGTATTGTTTGAGCACCCGTCAACGGTGAACACCAGCAAAGAGAAATACACCATATTTCACAATTTTCCTTCGATAAAGGCGAAAACGCAAATCACGCGGCTCGAAATGTGAATAGAACTTACCATATCAAAGGTGCACCACGCTCTGTTAAGCTAATTGTCAAAAGTCTCAATAAAATAAGGGAAATATTTGAGGCCGATCATCAAACACATCGATAGTCACTCGCTAGAGGCTCAAGCAACTCGATTGGCTAGTTCTTATGCATTTTACATCCATCTTAAAGTACCGAGCTGGAAGTAAGTGATTACTACGTATTCCGGTTTATGGTGAAATCCTTGCTGGTAAAAAAATCGTCTCAAGAGAAGCTTAAGAAAATCAACTGTCCCTGATTTTTTTTTTTTGGCAATAGGGGCGATGCTTTGATGCTTGAGAGTGGCATTAAAAATTTATCTTCAAAATGGCAAAAAGTTATCGACCAAGAGGTGCATATTTGGCCTGAATGAAATCATTCTAACTATGTTGAATAGAACATTTAATTAAAAGCAAAAAATAGTTTTATTTTTATTATACCCTTGTTTTCGAAGGGAATTGACGTTTTAATCATTGTCATTTTGTATTTATCAGAATTCTTTATGCAACAAATGCAGCAATCAATGGAACCTTCAAAGGAAGAAAACTTTGAGTTTCCTAACTGTAACGAATTTTTTCACATATTCTGAATTTCCCGCATTGATTTGCTTTCTGATATAACGGCTTGTTTATATTTTTAAAATACATATGTATGTATTGAATGTCGTGTTTACTGTTTTTATTTTCTAACTCTCTGTGAGCTGTCTAAAACTGCTCGCTACGTTACCGTAATATGCTTTATAGAATTTTTGTTATTTGGTACTTTTTGGGTGGCTGAAGCAATTACATTTTTAACTCATCATCAATTCAAGATGGTTTTGTAATTTATTTTTATTAGTCGTAAAGACAACTTGGTATTACTCAGTGACTATCTATTTTGTTAAAATAAATAAAACCCATAGCTTATACGCAATTCGTTATTAACTAAATGAATCCTAACAAATTTCTATTCACTGACTGAAATTTTTTCGAAATTGCCTTTAAATATTTTTTACTAACACAGAAATTCAATTAACAGAGCATAGATGGCATAAGTGCATAGTTTATTAATTAAAAAAGTATGCACCACTTGTGCTTAACCAATTAAAAACTAATTCCTTTGACACACTACGCAAAATAAGCAACAAAACAAAGCTTTACAATAACAGCCAGAATGTCAAACGAAAGCAATTAATTGACAGACAACCGCAGAATACAAAAACAACTGCAAACATAAACAAAAACATAGAAACTGCAATGGCGCAGATAACAAACCCTAAAATCGAAAACAAAACAACACAAAAACAAAAGTTGAAATAACCACAAACGCTTTGCAATAACAACGCAACGCCTTCAGCGGAATTGACACATCAAACTGTCAAAGTGAGTACAAAGACCATTTTTTCGTGAATTTTTTTGTGCAATTTCAAAACTCCAAAAATTCAATATTTCTACTTCAATACTTGAAAGCTGGCGGCGTACAGAGAAGAAGCTTTGATCTTAAATAAAGAGTGGGTAAAATTAAAATTTTGGTAGGGCTTTTGTTAATTTTTTTTAAATAAAATATACGCTTCGCTGATTTCAAAAATTATTGAATTTTAATAGTTGCCATACTATTTTTAATAAACGAGCTTAAAATAAAATAGTTTCTAAGTTTATGAGTATATTATATTTTGCGATACATTTCTTGGATAAACCGGTTTCTGTGTCGAAAAATACTGTTGTTTTTATAAAGAGGAAAGACATTATAGGATTTTGAATTGATACGATAGGCTTGAAATGGAGAATAACAAAGTACATATGTTCCGTTGCATCAACAATATTGTCATTTATACAATTGACTCAGCGAAACTGAACTTATTTAGCCTGTCTGAAATGTACATTTTCTAGAGATCTACAAAATAGGGCTTTGTGACTACGATAACTCGCATTCGCCTCAAATTATTCTGACCGTTGCATGACTTTTTCATGTTTGGAAATATTGAGAAGTCCGTCAAATTGGCCGTTGCGACTGGGGAGGGGTGAGGCGGTCCGTTGCTCTCGTGGAGGAATATTTTTTTCTTCCCCAAATGATGTCTATAATTCAACACTGTGGCCATTTTGCCCTCCACCCGGTAATCTGTGTGGGGATAGACTTATTGAATCTTGGAAAACGGTTACAAAATCATTCCTGACAATAGAAAAGTTTTCGCTTTCTTAGGAGAAAGTTTTTCGGGTGAAATCCACGGTTTCGACTGTTCCTTAGTCTCTAGTGTGTACCATTCATGGATCTATGTTATGTCGACAGTCACAAAATTAAGCAGAAACTTCTTCGGATTGCTTTTGAACAGCGAAAAACACTGTTCTGATGTGACTTTACAGTGGCACCTGTCCGAAATAGGCAAACGCGATACACATCACGCCGACAGCTTTCTCATGCCCAATATTTCAAAATATGACCATCCCACGCGGACTTTTGAGTTGCTTACTATGTCAGCTATCTCGCGCTACTTCAATCAACGGTCTGCCAAAACGAGGTAGTGTATTTTTGTCACGTTGTCCTCTTGGTAGCCGTTTTCATGGTAAAAAGTTTAACTCATCAAAAACCAACGTGAAGTTAAACCAATTTTTGAAGGTCCCCATCGAAAGAGACCGTATACAGTAAGCTACGCTCTTTGACTGCATTGCCTGTATAATAATTACCTCAACATACCCTGATATTCTATATTGTCATTCCCTTAGATATAATATGTAATCTACTTTCGGTTTCATTGTCGAACCGGTACTGTCGATTTCCCTACAGGGTATGCGATTTGATTATTTTTTTCCGTCTGTTCAACACGCCAGCTGCTCCTTCCGCTTTTTTACTCTAACAATCCCCCAGTTCTACCCCAAAAAGTAAGTGTATCATATGCATGCCAACAATAACAAAGAAACAAATATTGACATAACGAAATATTTACGCCAAAAAACGAAATACATACCACATGGGCTTGCCAACCCATACTTTTGTAGATACAATTTGCACAGACACGGGCTTCGTCGTCTGACTGACTGCGCGGGCTGACTGTGTCGAGTTTGCAAGGCGTTGGAATAACAAAACAAAAATATTGCTTTTACGCGCCATTGCATGCATGTGGCAGTGCCGCGCGACGCAGACACGCGTCATGAACCCGCTAAAATATCCGCCAACATGCATTGACAGCTGTCAAAAGTACGCAACAAAGCGCAGCACAAGATCAAAATGAATAAAGTGCAATGTGTAAATATGCAGGAAGTGTTGTCGAAGGCTTTTGTGTTCATTTTTTTATTGTTGTTTGTTTTTTTGTTTTAGAGTACTCAAACTTTTTGCTGCGAAAATTTATAAAGAAACATTTTTTCAAAGCGCTAAATTTCCTTATTTCATTTTCACATATTGCATTTAATTGCATTTTATTTTTTATTGTTTCGCCTTTGTCACTGTATGAAAATTCACTTTTCTATGTTTTTTTCTCGTTTCACTAAAAAATTCCTAAATTTTCATTGGCTGTTGAGCTTTTTCCATAATCTTGTTAACAATTGGAGCTGTGCTCATCCGCTTTATGGAAAATTTTTTGAAAGGATCCTGGCTTCGGGCTTACAAAATCCAACTCGTGCAAGAATTGAAGCTGAACAATCATCAAGCGCGTCACATGTTTAGTGAATGGACCCAAAACGAGATGGCTAACGATCCCGATTTTCACAAAGAATATTTGTTCAGCGAGGAAACTCACTTTTAGTTAAAGAAGAACGAAAGTAAACAAAATTGTCGCATTTGGACATCCTAGGTCCTAAAGTCACTGCTTGGTGTGCATTATAGGCAAGGGAAATCATTGGTACATATTTCTTCAAAAATGAAGTCGGCCATTATATTACAGTCAATGTAATGAACGAAACACACAACATTAAGCAAAGTTCATCGTGCTATAAGTTCTTACTGAATACAAAAAGGTGAGGTGGAAACATGCAGGCACTTTCTCCTTCATTGTCAAGCTTTTGCAAGGCTGAGATTGAAACATCTCAGCAGTCATACCGTCAACAAACCATCAGACAAAGCCGAAACTGACATTAGCCGCCTCAACTCAAATTTGTAAACGGCTGAAAGTCATTTGTCAATTTATGAGAGTCTTATGATCAATTTTATGTGAGTACTAGGTACCACCACAACTTGTAAGCTGTCCAAGTTAGATCCCTGTTAGGATAGACCTTTTAACACAATCTAACCTACTTTAAAACTTTTTGGTCCGAGTAATTTCGATTCAAATTGAAGCGCACACCACAAATAGCCCATAAAGAGATTGTATATTTATTGCCAGCCACTTTCCCATAAACATCGTTCGCTATAAATAAACAGTAATTTGTCTGATTTATTTGCGCAATTATTAATTATAAAATATTTGGCCATAACTAATGCGTGCCAATTTTAGCTGTCTACCATCAATTGTACAGTTACAAGGCAATGTAAGTAGCTGAAAGTAGCGCGCCCTAATTGCTGTTGCAACTTTCAACTTCACCTTTCGGAACGACGCAGGCAGAACCACTTACAATTTAATTAACTTTCAATTTGTTATGCCGCATACTACACACAGCCCAGCAACCAGGAATAGCACTAATGCCGCCAAAATAGGACAACAAAGTATATATATATATCTGTAAAATCTGTAAAGGTTGTAAGCATATGCCAGTTAACGGAAAATAAATTGTAAAAATTGATTGATTACTGCGGTGTTGCAAGTTTTGTGCGCTGGTAAGCGCGGCAGCAAGTACAATCTGTCGTCGTCGCAAGTTCAATTAATATTCCATTTCTTTGTTTTTTCATTACATTTTCTTATAATTTACTTCACTCACGCTTTTCTCTCTTTTCTTTGTTCAATTGTCTTTGCAGGCCCATCAGTCGCACGCCGCTTACACAGGTCTCTTACCTGCAAAAGATACCGACACTACCGCGTCACTTTTCGCCCAGCGCAGCAGCCGCAGCGGCGGGAGGAAGTGGCGGTTTAGGCCTTGGGGCACCAGGTGCCACATCAGCATTGCTCTCCGGCAGCGTTCTACCCAGCAGCTCGTCGGCTAGCGCTTTATATAGTCCCAATGCGACAGGTTTGCCAACATCACCGCTGCCACTGCAGCGCCAATTTCATCACGCGCCACCACCGCAACATGCGCAACAACAGCAACAGCTACAACATCAACCGCCATTGCCGCCACTACATCATCATCAATTGCATCCACAACAATATTTGCCACCGCATCACCAGCTGCCACCGCCGGCGCCGCCGCATGCCGCTGCCTCAACGGTTGGTATGCTAGCGCATCATGCACCACAACAGTATTCGCCGGCGCATTCAGCGCACTCTTCATCGTCCAAATACTCCAGCTCATCGCTGAAGCACCAACAGCAGCAACATCAACAACAACAACAGCAGCGTGGTATCCCGCAACCACAACAACATGCGCCACACCAGCTGTCGCCGGCGATTTCATCACCTTCACCGCCCTCACTGCTACACCATCCATCGTCGGCGCATGCGCCCTTCGCGCTGGTCGGACACCAACAGCTCGACATGCAGCGTCATTCGCATTCAGACGATGATAGCGGTTGTGCGCTGGAGGAGTACACTTGGGTGCCGCCCGGTCTGAGACCCGATCAGGTAAGCAATAAAATGAGAGAATACAGCAATTATCAAGCGTCTAGCGTTAAGATAGCGAACGAGTTGCGCGTGGTTGCCGGTTAAGAGGCAGAGTTCGATATTGCGGCAGATAGGCGTGAAATTATGCCACAATTGTTTTGATTAACTTAAGAGGGCTGCAGTACACAGCACTTGTATTGGAGATTTGTAATCAAAACGAATTAGCAGTGTATAGAAGAATGCAATTATTCGCGTTGAAATTAATTTACTACCTCACAAATAACTCCTTGAATCGCAATAAAATAGAAGCCGCATATATTTTTACGTATATCCAGAGGATATGTAGAAGCCATATGTCCATATAAGTTCTTATATATGTATATTTTATATACAATTATACCATGCACTGCGCATGCGTATCAAGTGCTAGTGCGCACGCGCCACGCAACTTTCCTTCCCATCCCCGACAATAATACTCCCAGCGCTCATCTCCAGAATCAAGCAGCCAACACCCAATGCACAAATATGTAGACACCTCGATAAATCTATGTACGTAGAATTCATTTCAAGGTAATTGTAACAAGACGCCATAACCGTGGCCAACAGCTGCATTGCCTTGTAGGCTCGCCTTACCAAGCTCACCGCCGCCCCAAGAGTCTACGGTATCATAAAGATATGTGGTTCACTTGATGGTAGTGCTGTAATGCATGTGCCAAGGCAATTCCTCAAAATATGCTCGTGTACGTTGAAAGCGCTTTGGTGTTTATCATTTTGTTGCGTAGCAACTGTTGGCGGCTTCTTACGCATTGCGTCACGCTACATGCGTACAAGCAAAAGAGCAGATGACACTCATGGGCAAGGTATCGAGGTACTTTGTTATATTGAATATCTAGTTGTGTCACATTTAATCTGCTGAAATACATAGCATGTCGATTGCGCGGCACTTGGAGAAACAGTTGCGAAAGGAGGCTCGCATATGTGCTCAAATAAATAAAATTTTACATGATTTACGCTTAAGAAAATGAAATTTTTGAATCGAATTTATAGAAAGAGCGATAAATCAGGAGCCTCTGGATATTTCTATGTGACTTTATTTTGATTCAAATCCGATCAGCGATAGATTTAGGAGATCTAAAGTTACACTCACGACGTGGATGATGTGTATTCTCAGAACGTATTGTGGCTACTTCGGCCTTTTTTAAATAGTATTTGGTCAAAATCTGGAATCATGACCAGCAGAAAAGGTCTAAAGTAAAAATCAAAATTCTTAATCCTTGAATTTTGTTTTTATTTTATGATTTTAAACCACCCTATTTCATATACCAGTTGGTTCTCCAAATATATTCATGAAACCTAAAGATCGCTTTCTAGTCGTTCGCTTACTCAAAATAAATACGTCGATGCAAGCACTTTTTTCAAGAAATCCTCGGGTTCATGATCGCGCTAAAGCTGGTCCACAATTATTGAATATAATAATTATTCCTTTACACCTTAATATATCCTAAAGTCCTACTTAACTTTTAATATCTCATTAAATATAATATTAATCATAAGAACTTCTGTGGTTCATAGAGAACATCGTCTTTCCAAAAGTCAAAAAATCTGTTGCCAAGTAGTTCCCTTATATCTTATTGTACTGAATTTTTTCGATAATATTCAGCTGGATCACCTTTCGGGAACCAAGTAGACAGATATATGTGCATCTCCGTTATGATTCTCAATCAATTATATAAACAAGAAAATACGTTAACTTCGGTTGCACCGAATACAATAAGGAATCTTTTGAACTTAAATGTTAGCATATCCTTAAATTAAAGCAAAACGCTAGACCTCAAGATCCATAAGTGAGCTCGACCCTAGCTAAAAAGGGTTAAATTGGATTTCAGGAAAACTCAATCGACTCTCTCAAACACGGTTCTACATAATCGAAACGCATGAAATTTATTTTCTTCAAGGAGCTTTCAACTTCTACAGATTTTCTAAAACCATTCGAGACATATTTGATGCCTCTATAACAACTGCAGATTTCATACATATTTCTTTCTACTTCAGCTATGATATTCAATAAACGCAAGTTACTGGGCTATTTACGAATATCAACCACAGTAGTAGGTGGGGTTTCATCCGTTGGCCATCTAACCAACAATTTATAGTTATTTTTCCCCTCACTAACCATCGAAGCCTGCTAATCTTAAAATGTATACCGCTATTTTTCTGCAAGTGCATGGAATATCGCTCAAGCACAGCCAGGAGTGTGTGTTGTTTATGCGCCAAAGTGGTTTATGTGGTTGCTGTGTTTGAGGTCATAAATATGTCAAGTGCAGTTTTGATAACTAAGAGTTATTGCCAGCAGAAAAAAGTGAAAGAAGTAAATTACAACAAAAAGTTCATTAAAAAGTGACAACACTGTAATGAAAGAAGCGGCGCAATAAAGCTTGCTACAATTTGTTGCATTGATTGAAATGGCTATAAAAATAGAAATTAAAACTTGCTTATTCCACTGCCATAAAATCAAGTGTCGCCCTTTTGTGTGTACATATGTTTTTGTAGCCTTTTTTGATTACAGCATTCAAGGCATAGACTTTCCAAAATTTGCGATTTACCGCTTGCACCGACTGTGCGACACTCAGTTGTGCCAATTGACTTTTTACTACGCGTTTAATGCGTTAAAAATTGTTCGAACGACGCGCCTGACCGCTGTGCCACACGCCGCATGACATTCTCGCGACTTTATCAATTATGTCGGCCATTCATTTACTTTCAAAGTTGTGGATTTTGAACAACAAACACAAGGTGCAGCGGTAAAATGAGACACCGACGAAGAGGGGACACAAAAACAATAAACTTCTTCCTGCTGCCACACTATCAGCACCTTCAGCAGGCTGCGGCAATGTTGCGTGTTATCCATACGTGACAGACGCTGCTGACTACCACTGTGTGCAACACATAAATTATTACCGCAAAGTATCCGTATCCGTTGCCGCGCCGCTGCCACTGCTGTTAAATATAAATCTTTCAATCTTTCGTACACACATATGTACTTCCTACATGCATATTTATGTATGTAGTTATATATAATGGGTGGTACATAGGGTGTAGTGTTTTTCTTTATTTTTTATTGACTTTATAATTGTCTAGAGAGTTTTAACTAAGTTCGAACAAGTCTATACAACGACTGTGTATGACACCAATGTTGAACAATGAAATCGGCTTTGGCTTCAACATCCGCAGATCGAGACAGTCCTTGACAAAAACGATTCAGAATGGCATGGAAAGTTGTATTAATAACATACCGCAGTGCTGGTAGTAACGCAAAGTTTGCATCTGTCAAAGCTTTTAGACTCACTGTATGGTTACTTATCGGATAGTATCCAGTTAGAACTCCTACGCACAAGTACTGGTTATTTAACAGCTTACTGAGCTCATGTAAGGTCTTTAGATTCAGCGCTTGAGCGCAAAAGGACAAATTAAGGGTGACATTTCTTACTCAGAGAATCTGGGTTTCTAAATGAACATGTGTTTGAGTATGGAGTCAAGAAACCAAACTGTGGCGACTCTTTCTCTGCCCACATATGTACCTGCGAGACAGTTGGTGGTGCGTAGAAGCCATTGGAGGATAGGAACAGTGAGCTTCTTTACGGATAGATCAAAACTTGATGGGAAGGTTGGGGTATATTGTCAGGAACTGTCTTTCAACTTCAGTTTCAGACTTTCTGAGTATTGTAGCTGTTTTGAAGCCGAAGTGGCTTTGTATCATTAGAATGAAACGGGTCGAGGATTCACTCTTCTCGTATATTCTAATACTGAATAGCTGGCCACACTTTTTAAAATTATGTTCCATCAAAAAAAAAAAAATTTTTTTCAAGAAGCCACTATTTGGACCACTCTATACATAGAACTACAAGTGTATATGCGCTTTTTAATACTCATCCTCTTGATTCTATATTTACTGTTTTTTATTTTAATATACTTCTATACTGTTTTTGTTTCTCTCAAAACATTTCGCTTTTATTTTCACTTACTTTGGTCACTGCATTTCTTTTTGCGGTGGCTAACAATCCAGTCATGGTCAGCGATGCAGTCGTTACAAAAAAATTAAAACATAAACAATGACCATGCGATGATACGCGAGCAGCATGTGCTGGCGTTTAAATAAATAAATATTTTTGTTTGTGGCGTGGTATTACGTTTTGGTTTTCTTTTATTCGCTGTGCTTGTCCATCAAAGTGATATACGGAAGTTGAGAGCTGTAAGTGCATTGGAAGCGCCACAAGCACCGCACATGGGTACATAAAAATGCACATATGTATGTGTGGCATTCACGTTAGCATAACTGTCACAAAGTCCATCCCATGGATATCATGACGTAAAGTTTGCCCCTTTGAAATGTCCATGCTGTTCCTCTTTTGAAAAAACTTATACTATATTTATTTAAATTGCTCCATTTTTTTTGGCAATTTTGCATTCCAAAGTCTCCCACTGGTTCTATATTTTGCGCAACGCTCTACGCACTCACTTTTTCTACTGCTCTATTTTTTCGAGCATCCTGTCACTCAGTTTAACTCTCATAAAATATTCTGTTGGTCGTAGCTCGACACCACAAGTGCTCGCTTCTGTAAATATATCACTTCAATTGTGATTTTAATCTCTCCTCTTTTTTACTCGTGTGTCCCATTCATTAGTTGAAAGCTTCGCCTGTATTCAGCGCGCTTACCTTGTGGGCTTCTTATTTATGCACTCTGAATTCATGTGTATGTTTCAATGTAACCTTTGAACAGAATGTGGAGACCAAAATTCACATAAGTAGATATATACCACAAGAGTCATTAGTTTATGCATATCATTGAAATTTTTTTATTAGCAAGGGATTTATAATACTCGAATTACTATTATTTTTATTCTACCGGAAGTTTCTGAGGCTATCTAAGCTCTCTGAGCTTTACATTACTGTTACTAAAAAAAATAACTAATCAGCTATAAACCCTCTGAGATATTTAAATCAGTTATACAATAGAATAAAA